TTCAAGGCCAAATGTATTGACAATTGATAGAGCCAATTTCCAAGAGCAGACTTCGATCGGTCTGCAGATCTATCCTGACAGGTTACAACCTCCAAGGCATAGACGCCCGGTGAGAGTGAGGTGGCTAGCTGACATGAATAGTAGATTCCTCTGGCAAGCGACAGGTGCCACTTTATAACGTCGTATGGATAGAAACTGCCAATGGTAATATCTTCATTGACTATGCGGCACAGTCGTCAAAGACGCATGTCAAACTTGAGAGGTGGGCATTTGCGCTCGCGAAAGACAAGGAATCTCCAGGTAACTCGCAGCCAGAAGAATTTGCGGCCCGTGTTCTTGAACGGGCATATGGGGATTCTCAGCTTCGAAAAAGAGCATATGTACTCATTAATCCCCATGCCGGCCCAGGAGGCGCTCTGCGCAAATGGAGCAACGAGGTCAAGCCACTTTTCGTTGCTGCCCGCATGGAGCTGGACGTCGTCACATTGACACGGGGCGGAGAGGCCACAGATCTCGCTGAACAAGTCGATATTGACAAATACGATACCATTATGGCATGTTCTGGCGACGGCACTCCTCATGAAATCTTCAACGGTCTGGCAAAGCGTCCTGACGCTGCCCATGCCTTGGCCAAGATTGCCGTCAGCCATATTCCTTGTGGGTCAGGCAACGCCATGTCCTGCAACCTCTATGGTTCATACCGACCATCGTTTGCGGCGTTGGCAATCATTAAGGGCATCACTACCCCCCTCGATCTAGTCTCCATTACGCAAGGCAATCGTCGCTTCCTGTCATTTCTCTCCCAGTCTCTGGGGATCGTTGCAGAGAGTGACCTTGGGACTGAACATCTTCGCTGGATGGGCGGTTCAAGATTTGAGGTCGGTGTTTTGATGAGAATATTTCGACGCCGATGCTACCCATGTGATTTAGCTGTCAAAATTGAAGTTGGTGAGAAAAGCGATATCAAGGCTCACTATAAGTGGCATACCAACGGTGCAGGGGCCAAACAGCTCCCTCCAGATGTTGTTGCTACAGGACAAGTCGGCAGTAAAGGTCTCCCGCAACTCAAACACGGCACCGTTCAAGACCAACTACCAGATGATTGGGAACTTGTGCAGTACGATAAAATTGGCAACTTTTACTGTGGAAATGTAAGCTGGCCCGGCTATTAAATTTGTCTTTCGTAGCATTTGTGACTAACTCCAGTGCAGATGGCCTACATGGCACCGGACGCAAACTTCTTCTCTGCCGCAATGGCCAGCGACGGCTGCATGGACCTTGTTACAGTTAATGGGGATCTCTCTCCTATCACGGCCACTAAGCTCCTGTATTCAGTCGAGTCTGGAAAATTCTTCGACAACCCACACGTACAGTACAAAAAGATATCTGCGTACCGCATTGTACCCAGAAACCAAAAAGATGGTTATATTAGTATTGATGGCGAGAGAATCCCGTTTGAACCTTTCCAGGCCGAGATACATCAAGGCTTAGGAAGGGTCATTTCTAAGAGGGGAGCATTCGAGGCAGCCGGCCCGGCGAACTGGGATAAAGTGACGCTGGCGGATCGTATGCACGCGTAGGCACAATTGCGACTGGAAACATGTGTTGGCGACAAAATTATGTTTAGCGGGAATTTTATCGAATGTCGTGGTGGAAGAGCTTTGATACCCAATTGTACCATACCACGAGAAGCAAACTTTGATGGACACAACAGGTCCATTCTTTATGTGCCTATTTGCGGATGGGTAATTCGAGATGTGAAAATTGGCTGAGGAACTGGCCGTGGCCGCACTGTTACAATATGTACTGATCATCTATGGCTTGACATTAGCTAAAAAGCATATTGCACATAGTCTATTTGCCAAAGTACCTCATACATGGCCAAAATTGTGATACTATACTACCTAGATAATTATATTGCGTTTAGTTTCCAAAAACTCGAAGTTATCAAAAGAGTGTGTTTGAATGGTTCTCAAGCGAAATTTGAATTTCAGTTCATGACTGCAACACATCGGTGCTGTACCCATCCTCTTTATATATTATTCCAAGCTAGCGCTCCAATTTCTTGCAGGTTAATGATAAGATAAACCAGACCTGTGGAGGGGCAGCTTCCCCGAGCTCTAATAAATTCCACTTCCACCCACACTTCAATCTTCCCCTCGGTGCTACGAGAAGCAAGTTCGTATACTGATGCGCATGCGACGATTTAGCGGAACAAACATCAGGCTAGGCAATTCGTCAATAATCGTGTCAATTTAACTTGTTTCACCATGCCTGGTCGAGGAAGCAAAAGCTCGTTGTCAAGTTCTTGGGGCCGGTTGAAGCCAGTGGAGCAAGATCCTCTGCAGAGCATGGGGTTGCCATCAAAAGGAGATACTCGGTGAGTCCTCGCAAACGAAACCAGTGTGAAAGAGACTACGGCCACTGCTAACCCCCGAATATAGATTGCTTGACTATAAAACACAAGAGAATTTCTACACCAATATTGTGGACAAATACATGGCATTCTGTTCCGAGGCGGGGCAACGGGACGAGCTTCTACGCCGCTTATCTTCCCTTCATATTGATGCGATGCCCGCTGCCGATAGCCGTATACCAATCCCTCAATATACTAATAGCAATGCTGGAGCCTCGCGTTTCATTCCTCCCGACAATATGTCAAGCGCCAACGATCTCTCCGGTATTCTGGTAGCTCTACGAAAACTCAGAGAAGGCATTGTCGCTTCAAACCGTGTCGATGAGTTTTCGGCACAAGCATACTTATTTTGTATACGCTTGTCAGTTTTGGCGAAACAGCCAGAATCATATCATGCTGCTATATTACACCTTTTGCATGTAATTCATGTTAGACACCCGCTTACATCATTGGAAGTTCAAGAGGTAGCTGGATATCTTGTGCTGGACACAGCGTGTCGCCGACGACAGCTTGCGGAGGCAATTGCGATTCGCCAGCAGTTCAAACTGCAGGATGAGAAAGTAAATGCAGTCCTGCAGGCTATCATACACGACAATTACGTCCTTTTTAGGCGAATCCAAAAAAACGTGGACGGCCATAAAGCTCGGTTGATGGAGTGGGCAGAAAGGGATGTAAGAATACATACTCTCAAGTGTCTCGGGCGAACATACCTTTCTGTGGACTTCAAGTTTCTAGAGGATATCACGGCATCTAAATGGGAAGATTTGACAAGAAACGATGGCGTGGGGTGGGAGCTGGACAAAGAAAGAGTCATCATTCGAAAAGTCAAGACTCGGTGAAGCTGTTTCGCTTGGAGAACTTAGGTCATCTTAACATTACAGGGCTCTTCCGGCTCTATTACCTCAAGCGCAAATGCCTGGGAAATATTTAGTGTCGAAATGCTAGGCACAGGCCAAACCCTCTGGGTAAAGCCTGGCCAGCACGTATCGCATCTCCGGTTGATAAAACCAGCTCGTCCTCTTTTGCCCACACGCACGCGGGCTTATATTCCCAGAGCTCCTTAAGTAGTCGCTTATTGACTTTGACCGGCGCAGTCCTCCGTTGTCGTAAATTTCAACACAAACGTGGAAGGCCTTGTCGATTCCTTCAACGGTTCACAGCAGCCAGATTCTCCACGGCCAATCGTCTACTTACTTAGTTAGGTGACCGCCAAGAGCAAACAAATAATTGTTGCTGGTAACGGAGCCGCTGATATTTCCCCCAAACCCCAGAAATTCAGGGTACGAACTTACGATCCAATGATACCCCGCCGACAGGCTACAAATGACAAACTGGGTATCACGATTTTTGGCAGCTTCAAGACACATCAGATCGGGTAGGAGGGAGCGTCTTTGAACTATTGATGCGTTCAATAGTAGTAGATATTGGCTACAGTGAGTTTATGGTTTACTCGTAAATATATACTTCCATTCAGCCTAGGTCAACATGCATTAAACTCTAAAAAAGGGGAGCATGGCATAATCCATGGATTCGATAGACGCAACGACATCTCGTCCGCTGCTGCCGTCGAGACAACAAGTAGCGGCAATGTAAGGAAGGAATACCAGCTCAACCTGAGGGAGAAGTAGGTGGAAACCATCGCTGCAGCTGCAGCGCTAATGCGTCAACTTGTGAAGCAATAAACTTCATTCACGAAATTGGAGACGGATAGGGGAAGACTGAACCTGTCGGCGGAGCTCTTATCATCTAAAGGTTACCACATGCAACATTGATTTACAACCATAATCTTGCCGATTTGAGGAAAAGTGGATAGTGGACTTATAGGTCTCGAGAACCATCGCAAAGCTGCAACACCGATCGGACATTCTATGAAATTCATAGCATAGACGTAGCGTAAGTTGCGAGCGATTACCGAGCAGAGTACATATATAGCGCTCAACAATATCAGCCAGATTGAGTGCCAGGAATCTGCAACACTCTTTAGGGAAACAGCACCACCCAGACTACAAGAAGTACTCCGTGTCAAAACTCCAAATACCTGCTCGCGCTTAATGGCGCCTGTGGTAATTTTAAGCCTCGGGCTTCAATCTAGTTACAGTATTTCCCACTCTCATATTTTTATTTCGTCCTGGAATCCCAAACGCAGGTGCTAATGCGTGATTCGGTACCAACTACGGTAAGGACCAGATGTCTGGACTCTAATGTAGAGAATGTGTCAAGTGAGTGCTCCTGAACGATCGCCCACCCATCCGTCTATGCAGCCCCAACTTTAACTTGCATTGTTGTTGAGCTTTATCGAATACTTCACCACATTCTACACCCGAACTGGCTGGTTTCGGTAGTTTGGTAGCAAGGTAGACATGCCCTCCAGTCTCCGTTAACCTGGTCTTCGGTCTACCGGCATAGAAAATCTATGCTAGCATATACCTCGTCCCACCCATCAATCGTAGATAAATAGTGTTCCGATATGTCTGTCTTGGCCTTTATTAAGCTAGGTATGTTGATGTGTTAAGATTTCGTGGTCATACGGCGTTGTAGAATGCTGCATCTGAGATCTGAAAGATGTTGGCGAGCTGCTTCAGGATTACTTCTTTTCGTAAAATTGGACAGCCTTCTCCAATTCTTCGAGACTAGATCTATCCCCGTATACATCGAGAAGGGCATTATTTCGACGTTGCAGTTCTGCAGCTTTTGTTTCAGCTGCAACAATATCCGCAATCCGACGTTCCCGTACGCGGCCTATGTAAACGTTGGCAATGTACCCTGCACCGCACAAAACGAGAGCAGCTTTGAGCCTGTTTGCGCGGACATGAGAGGTATATTAGCTGTAGAACTATGCATAGATGACGAGGGGGTCCGGAGTAGCTATCTTTTCCACTACTAATGAAACATGTATTTGCTATCGCCGAGGCATGCACTAGCACACCACATCATATTACCACACAGAGCGCGATGGCCAGATACCTTATCCGGTCGACTACTTTTTGCTTCCCCCACTGAATGAATAACAGATACTTACCATCGAAAGGGGGGGCGGCGAGACTGCCGCAGGTGAGGGAGGATGCTCGGATGCACCCTTGCAGACGTAGAAAACACCCTGTTGTATAGGGCCGTCGTGTATATCATGCTGGGCAGTCGAAAGGTTGACATGTCCGAGAGAACACAGCACGCGGCGATGCAATCTCTAGTCTTTAAGTATACCAGTCTCCATGTGTTGGGTTCGAGTGGTCTGATAATGGCCGCGGCGAGAAGTGCAAAGGAAGTGAAGAAACGCTGCTGGTTTAAAAGCCCGCCCCCTGTCCCCCAGGCAGGCAATCGGGTCAGCTGTTATTTCACTCCACGTCTCCAAAACTATCCACTCACGCACCGAACTGCTAGTACAGTACGTCGTCTCTGCAGGAGAAATTAATGGCACGCGATCTTCCCCTCACTACTTCAGTTGCCAGCGAGTCTTTCAAGCCTGCCCCCAACACACATCTTAACCCAGAGACTGAATGACAATTGCGGGCAGGAATTAATATGAGACTAGGTGTGTTATTTTCTGTACATACATAACTATCTAGGTAATGAAGACCACAGGCATAAAAAGTCGACGTGACAGTATTAACTCGGATCGACGGGCACCTCAAATCCCTGTTCTCAGGAGTGGTCCCATCAACCCAAGCGGGCAACATGATGGCGGAGCCATTGCTGGGGCCCCGCCTTCTGCACCTGTCGCTAGGTGGGAAAGGCAATGCCCCTCGGCTGGGCCCGGCTTTGGTTTCGGCCTAGCCCATCTTAGGATCTTAGCCTCGGACAGACACGGAGCCAGCCCTCCTCTGGATCTCACCATGTTCGGAGAGAAACTGCGTCCATGGTTACCATGTCATGCCACTTCTTGCCTCCCCTGTAGATTATCAGGATGATCAGGGCAATAAAGTATCCAGTTACGAAGAGTGTTATTGGACACTCAGATACGTGTTCCAGCTTTACGGTATACAGGACTATGGACTACATAAACCAGGACTTTTTTTTGGGGGGAAACTAAGCATCATGTCCACTGTTCTGCTGTTAGTCTAGGAGTATTTTCAGCTGCCATGAAACATAGGGGTGATAGGGATGTCCTCCAGATCTATATAGTCTATGCCTTTATAGTTGCGCCTATAAGTCGGAGAGCAAGACCAAAAAAACACTTCAATTTTAAAGGGAACAGCTACTATGTATCTCCCGCCCCGAATCGAGATGTGGATTCCCCCTAAGGCCCTCGTAAACACGTCTGGTGTGATCGTACCATTTTAGTTTGCTTTAACGTGGGAGCCTGGCTTTAAAGCAAAGCCTACCATTTGACATTAGCCAGCCACCATGATGCCGTAGGCAATTGATGATGTTTGGCCTTGACTTTTAGACGTCAGGGATACCGCTGCATTCAAGGCCCCTACCACAAAAATCTCCTACATTTAGAGCTACCACACAGACACTTGGTCATATCTTCTACCTTGCCTTCTAGCTCTTCAAAATCTCCACTCGCTCCATCCACGTAATCAAATGTCAGCTCCTCGCCCTTTTGAATATCCTTTATAGCAAAGAGGGCCAAGTCATGTATATGTTTGTCTGCGTGGTCCCCAACACGAGCAAAAATTCGCATATTTGGATCGCAGGAGTGGTTAATGAATCGGGTAGGTCCCGACATAAATTCCCCATCTACCTCGAGTGGAGGGCCCTTTAGTCGGGCATCCAACGACTGAGGGTCCGTGAATTTATCCAAGGCAAAGAGATATACATCTTTTCTGTGATAAACTACAGAGGCATCTCGGCGTCGATCAGCTTCGGCGGACGTGATGACTTCGCCAAGGTAACGGTCCACAAATTGGCCCTTCTTAATTGACTCTTGAGTCCGTACACCTGCATGTGTCTGTCAGCAAGTCAATCTATACCACAGAATGGGTTCAGCTTACCCCATCCACGATCCGGTGTACGAAAGATTTGAAGCGGCACAGTGCGACCACGTTCAACTACTCGGTTTGGGCAATCTGGGGAGCAGGCACAGCCTTGGTGACATTCATAGAGTGGCAGCTTGGACGTATGGAGTTTTGATCGTAATAAGCCGGCCTTGTTTCCGTGCATGTGATAGGCATATGCCTTCTTCCGTGCTGGTGATAGTGACGCTCTGGTGGCCGAATCCAGTCCACTGTGGTCATCATCTGCATCGTCACTGGCTTCGTCTTGGTCAAGATCTGCGAGACATAGACAGCCTGAGTATTGGCAATCTTCGTCCTGACCACAGGTGCAGCCGCTTCGGAAGCTAAGGTCGGCTGCTGTGACGCCAGTGCCAAGTACGACGCCATTGATGAAGCGAAAATTTTGGGGTAAAGTTTGGCTGTCTATTTCGTTTACTATGGTGATGGGGGCCGTTTTATGTGTCGGGAAAGACCGCAGCTGGCACCAGTGACAGTTTTCCTTCTCATCTTTGTTGCCCTGTTTTGATGATTTGGCACGTATCAGTCCCCGAAAAACCTTTGTCTGTATAGGGCACGCCCCTCGGATGTGGGTTGCCTTTCTGGTACACTGGGAAGTTGATAAACAGGGACATCGAACCTACATCTTGGCCATGGTGGAAGAAGTGTCTGCTCATGGCATCTTCCATCGCGCAGTGTGGTGTTTGCTACGGGCTTCGGATGTGCTTTGTTTTCGGCGGTGGAATCCACAAGCAAATCGGTCACCACGGCACACTCTCCTCTCCATTTCCAAGCACCCCAAGTTGTGTGGGGGCTCAGTATGCTTTGCCAGTGGGACAGGGTAAGTACCTACTACTAGTAGGTATCTTAGGTAATTACTTTGCAGTCGCTTGCGAGCCTGGCTTTAAGTAGCTACTGTCCGATCGGTAGAGTCAATTGGTCCCATTGTCTTTCAATATTCACAAGTGCTTTCAGTTTCGTAGAGTCGGGTCAGCATTTGAAGCTTACGACTGGAAGTACTACATACACAGCCAGGCTGGACTCAGCGCTCCTCCCGGCCCCCCGACAACCCCACATGCACACCCTCCACCCGCCTCAAGCTAGCAGGCGCTGTGTGGCCAGTACTTTTGCGCTTCGCGAAACCCGACACTCTACGCATTCTCAACCTCTTATTTCTGGCACTCGTCGTTTGACGTACGCAAACAAAGGATTTCCTTCTATATTCCGCGCTATCGTGTCCCCTCTCCCAAACAGAGCAGTCGGCTTGTCCATCTGAGCCAGGTTTCCCCCAGCATCAAGCCGGTCGGTTCTCGAGATTCTTCGCTGGTTTCATTGTTGGCATGGCTGTGGCAAGATCTTAGTGGTGCTGCTCGTTCGGACCTCCTTCTCGTCGACTAGATCTCATTCTCTAGATTGATGACATTGGCTCTCTCCGTCGCTAAAAGCCCTTTTCTGCCCACTACCAAGATTCCTGAGCAGTTTTGCAAACACAGATTACGCTTGACAATGGTAAGCTGTCAGCGTTCTCAACTAGATCCTTCAGTAGGAAGAGACTAAACTATACCAAGGGATGCTGTTTTTCTAGATCTTCTGGCCCTAATTCGCCTTATCCTGGCGGCGCTACTAATGCGTCTGCTCGCCACATTAATCCACCTCCCCTTACGCTACCAGAAAGCGTGCAAGCAGGCTCCCAAGTCTTGCCTCGCCGGCGACATCGAGATCAAGGTCCACTAGATGAACATATCAACAAGCCCTTGCGTCGACATGTGTGGACATCAGCAGATCGCCAGTGGACGAAACAGCAACTAGATAACGAGAGAGCCGAATTCTTTGATACTCGAGTAACTGGACGTTCGGAAATATGGCAAACAATTCGCGCTGCTGTGGCTGTCTTGCAGGAACCTGGAGGTGAAGGTAGTGACGCCTTGGCAACTGCACAGTCAATTCTATCTGCTGCAGAGATCTCGCTGCCGACGGGCGATCTTGCAAATGGTGTCTACGATTCGCTTGGCAACTACTACCAGCTCCCGCAATGGGTAGTTTCCGACCCGAGCAATCTTGCGACCCTCTGTGAAGGAGTCGACGTGCCTGACATGTCTACAACTGGGGATGACGACACCGCGGAAGAAGAAGTTGACCCTGTTTCTCTCGTAGATGATTCTGAGAGACGGAGGCATGAAAAGGGCAAAGAGGTTATCGATGGTTATGACCAGATAACTTTACGAGCACGCCTTAGTGAGACCGGGAGGGATTTTGAAATCCATGTCAGCAAATCGGATACTGTGCGAAATATAATCAGAAAACTTACCTGTGAAGCGTCAGTAAGTGTCCTATTTTCATTGCTCGCTTCCTTTTGTTGTATGGTGACGTTCCTTGTTCCGTTGAGACGCCTATAGTTCCGGTTATGGCCAACCACAAGCTAATACCGCCTATCTGAAGCTACCCACCGAAAAGAAGATCAGAATTGCCTATATGGGCAAAATGCTCAAAGATAACCAGCCTCTTGAAATACAGGGCTGGCAAACTGGCCATGTGGTTAATGCACTCGTCTTTAACAGAGAGTAATATACGCGCCACGCAAGCTCGTCAGCCACCTCTTCTTCATTAGCGGCTACGGTACAGCGATCAGAACTTGATTCATTCACATCAACTACCCATTATACTTGTAATGACGTCTAATTCCTAAGTATGAGCTCTTTTTTTTTTAATTCTTTCAGTTGACAAGCGGACTTTGTACTAGCGAGTGCGGGTTCCTTCATCCATATACCCCTGATAATTGTACACAACTGCTTGGAAAGTTTGGGATAAAACTAATGTCGGCATTACCATTGCCATCATTCACCACCGAAGAGAAGATCTATGACAGAAGTTAAAATTCAGTAGTTACTGTCGTATCCACGCGACTCTCCCAGGCCACTGTTAATTATGAGCGTCCTTGGCAAGATGTACACAATGTCTGCACCGAATCTATGGATAGTTTTACTTGGCTAATATCAGCCTCCCATGCTCCCATTATCAAAACCACCCTCCTTGACTCCGCTGTCATCCCTTAACTCACTTACGTTCCCGCTTAGAGCAGGTGATTTTCCTCCTACTACTCTCGCGTGATGCGAATCCGCATTCAACCGACTCCAGAGAACTTATGCTGAAGATCCGATCTTGTTTAAACCTTTCAAGGATCCTAAACTTAAAGCAAGGCCTTGAGATCTGCTTCTTATACGAACAAACCCGGTAATAGGGCCGTCTTCTCCCTCCTTTTCGATGCTAAGATTGGCCAATGCATCCTCACCTAGATTCATTAGTATTCAACTTCTTTGAGATATTGCCCACTGCACAGCAAATTTTCTGGATGTTTGCACTACTTACCGAATACGGACCGAGCGTAGAGGTTTGCGCTCAAAAATTGGCAATCCCCTTTGAGGCTCGCCTCAGGTGTCAAGCAGTTCATGTTGGTACACGCCATCAGTTGATCCAGGAAGTCTCGTAACGACTTCGCTTTTGAGTTAATATTGACTTTGTTCTCCCATTCAAATTCAGTCCACATTGTTCGGAATTGGGTCTCAGTGCATGTAGCCGGCTGAATGTAGTCCATAATATCTACGTGTAAATCGTTTAGAATAACCACGTTTGTATCAGTAGAGTGGGCTCCATCGTATACGACATTGCCAAATATGACGCCTGTGTCCGTAGATGAGACCTTGATGGTGCACTGAACATTGTGGAAGTCATGGGGGCCGAGA